TTAGTTAGGAAGCTTCTCTGAATGTTGCCCATCTTCAAACGATGTACTGATTCATATGCTGCAGCCTCATACTAGGAAAAAGTGGGAAACCAAGACAGCTGAAATCATCTGCGTTGCTCAATGATTCTCGGATTGGGCGGAAATATCCCATCCAAAAATCCATCTGGCTACGTTATGGCGATGGCACAAAAGCTGAACAACCAGGTTGCTCGATTCCACTGAACGCAGGGACAATAACCCTGCAATCATCTAACGATTCTACCCCAAACCGGGATTAACTGCCATCGCAATACATTTAAAGTCGACCTGTCTAAAAGAAGGATATGCTGAATACATGCAGAATAAAATGATCCACCGTTACTCTACTTCCTACTCCGTGTAGATGAAGAAACAGTAATGCTTTGAACAATTTTCAAAATGCTTTCTTTGGAAGTTCGCTTCGTACATGTTTGCATTCAGAGGATCCTTTCGCTAAGCAGGCAGAACTGCCGTACAGATTATAATCAATCATTTTGTTTCCGCACCATGAGTATGCCATTGGTCGTTTCACACATCACTATGTATCCATAACATGGATTTAACGACATTAAAGACCCTGATTGGGAAGTACGACAGTCATGATTCCAAATCCTTCAGTCTGGATTTAAAGACATAATCTCGTTTTCTCCGGCAGAAGGCCCAGGGGACGGCCAAGATTAACCTGGTGCAAACATATGGAAGGAGTGTGTTGCAGACTCAATTTGACTTTGCCGAAACTCAGACTCTGGCACAGGAAGCTCTGTGACGCGTCTGCTTCCGCGACCCTAAAGGAGAAGTGGAAATGGAAGAAGAAGAACATGATGATCTCGTCTTCTACACGCAGTAACCTCACTCACCTTTCTGCAATATTAGATATATTAGACGATGGAGACGCCAAATTAGATGATGCGGAGAGGGATTCGTATGCTTTAAAACAACTTTGCACATATATCACAAGATTCGCCGTTGCGTTTTAAAGTGTGGCGAAAAGAAGCCTAAATAGCATAGTGTAAAGCGGTGCATGTGTCGGCGATGTCCGTCTACTCATTCACTTCTAATGGACCAGTCGACGATGGTGGTTTCGCGCGTCCTTCTAGCGACCGCGATTCTTCTATCGTGCTTCTCGGCACTGTTGCTCATTGCTCCTGCAGAAGTATGCCATCCCCAATACTGTGTGGACAAGGAACTTAGGAGTAGCTTGGAGGCGATCGATCAATCTTCAGTGGAATGCAGGCTTGTGTCGCTGAAGAATATCGCATGCGAACGTCGTGACGTACGGCCAAGTGCGAGTGACGATCAATTCTGTTTCAAGTTGCCCGAAGTACTATGGAGTGGTATTTGTTTGATATCATTAACCGCGTTTCTCTGCATTCATCTTACGACCATGGCAGTGGCGACGAATTCAAGCTACCAGTACGCAATGCTGTGGATACTGGAAGCGTTGGAGTTATCGTTGGCGCTTTTCGCACTGTCCCTACTTGACAGATTGCATAGCAAGTGGTATTACCGGACTCGCTTTGGCCGGCAGTCCGTAAGTGACGTCGAACAGAACAGTGGACAGAGCAAAACTCAGCCTGGGCAGAGTACCGACGCCATTGACTGGCAAACCGCGGGACTGCAGCCGATCCCCAACATTCCGGAACAGTGGTTCGTTGCATACGTCTGTTCCATGATCGTGCTCTTCGTACTCGTTGTAAACGCATGCATCCAACCTAGAAAGCGCGATCGTCTCGAATCTCACGCACAACCGCGTAGTAACGAACCGTATTGCAGAGAATCGGACACCATCGACGCCGTACAAACGATCGAAATGCAAACCACACATGAAGAACCGCCTCCCAAATATCATACACTATTTCCTGAAAGTTTTGGACCCTTTGCCGCAAGTTCGGTGAACAGTAGTGATCGTCAACCAAAGTTCTAATGGATTCTTTCGGGAAGTGGAATAAACCCGACATATTTCCCATGGCTTTCGTTTTGGCAT